CCGCGGCGCCCGGCGCGCGCGCGGCGCCGCCGCGGGAGCTGTCCAACCTGCTGTGGGCGTGCGCCGTCGCGGGCGTGCGCGACCTGCAGCTGCTGCGGGCGGCGTCGGCGCGGCTGGCGGCGGCTGCGGGCGCGTGCAATGCCCACGACCTGTCGCAGGCCCTGTGGGCGCTGGCGGCGCTGCGCTACCCCGACCGCGCGGCCCTGCCCGCGCTCGCGCGCGCGGCGTGCGCGCGGCTGCCCGCGTTTGACGCGCGCGCGCTCGCCAACGCCGCGTGGGCGGCTGCGGCGCTGCTGCGGGAGCGGCGGCGGCAGCGCGCAACCAGCCGCGGCGGCGGGGGCGGCGAGGCCAACGGGTACAGCCGCCAGGAGGAGGTGCGGCGGCTCCTGGGCCCAGCAGGGCCGCAATTCGTGTCGGCCCTCGCCCGGCAGACGCTTGTCATGCTGCCCGCCTTCCGCGCCGACGGCCTCGCCGCGGCCCTGTGGGCGCTCGGCGCGCTCGGCGCCGCGCCGCGCGAGCTGCTGCACGCCGCGGCGCCGGCGCTCGCGGCGCACGCGGCGGCGGGGCGGCTGTCGGCGCGCGAGCTATGTGAGGCCGCGGGCGAGTTCGCGTTTGGCGAGCTGTATAGCTTTGTGCGGTCCCTCGGGCACGCGGGGCGCGGCTGGTGCGGCAACTTACCCCCGCCAAGCAGCGGCGGCGGCGGCGGGGGCAGCAGCGGCGCGGGTGCGTTTTCGCCTGGCGCCGGAGCGGCCGGCTTTTCTCATGCGCCGCTGCTGGCAGCCGCGGCTGCGTGCGTGGCGGAGGCGGTAAGGCGCGGGGAGGCGGCGCCGGGCGAGGCGCTTGGCTGCGCAAAGGTGATGTTGGAGCTGGGCGGTGATGCGGCAGGAGTGCTTGACGCCTTGGCTGAGTCATACTGGCTGGAGCAGGGACACGAGCGGTACACTGAGCCGGTGACAGCCCGCCAGGATGAGCCCCAGCAGCAGCATCATCATCATCATCATCATCATCAGCAGCAGCAGCAGCAGCAGCAGCACCAGCACCAGCAGTCAGGGCAGCAGCAGCAAGAGCAGCAGCAGCGCCAGCAGCAGGAGCAAGAACAGCAGCACGAGCGCCCCCGCCCGCGGCCGCTCACCGCGTGGCCTTCGGAAATCCTCGCCGCAGCCGCATGGCTGGCGTCTGCAGACGCCCTCGTTGGCGCCGGCGGCACCAGTGCGAAGCCGCCGCCCTCGCGGCGGCGCTTTCTGCTCGCAACGCTCGGGGAGCTTCGCCGGCGCGGCACTGGCGGCCTGCTGCCTGCGACGCGCGCCCGGCTGTACGCGCCGCTGCTGGCGCTCGCGGGGCGCGGCGGGCTGCAGAGCGCGCGGCAGCACAGGCGGCGGCAGCACTTGGAGCAGTGGCGGCAGCAGCAGGAGCAGGAGTACGCAGCGACTGACACAGGTCTGCACGTGTATTCCCAGCAGCAGCAGCAGCAGCAGCAGCAGCAGCAGCAGCAGCAGCAGCAGCAGCAGCAGCAGCAGCAGCAGCAGCAGCGATGGGGTCAGCAGGAGCAGGAGCAGCAAGAGCAGGACTCGCAGCAGTCGAAACTGTTGTATAACATGCCCTCGTCCTGTGCTCTGTCACAGTCTGACGGTGCAGTGGCAGCCGCCGCGGCTGCCTTGCTCTGCTCGTCCCGCGACGGCCGCGCGCTGCGCGGCGCGTGGCGCCAGCAGCAGCAGCACCGCGCCGCGACGGGCGGCTTGAGCGCCGCGCGCGCTGATGCGGCTCGGATCCTCCGCGGCATGGGGCTGACGAGGGCTGACCAGGCTGTGGATGAGCAGCAGCAGCAGCAGCAGCAGCAGCAGCTCTTGGAGATGCCCGTCCCACTGGTGGTGGCTCTGGAGGTGGAGGGGCGCCGTGTGGCGCTGGATTTGGTGGAGCACAGAGCCCAGGTTGTTGATCTGCTGGGCCTGGGCAGTGAGCTGCAGCAAACCCAGCAGCAGCAGCAGCAGCAGCAGCAGCAGCAGCAGCAGGTCCCAAACCACCAGCCTTTGCCGCAGCTGCAGCATCAACCATGCGCGGCAACGGCGGCGGCGGCCGGCCCCAGTGGTGCCGGCTGCTGCAGGCCTCCCTGCAGCTGTGCGTATGGGCTCTGGGCTGGAGCCAGCGCCAGACCAATGGCCTCGCGGCGGCTAGGGCACGCGTGTCTGGAGTCGCTGGGGTGGCACGTGGTAGCGTTGCCCTTGCAGGCGTGGCAGCAGGCTGCCGACGATGGTGCAAGGCAGGCGCTGCTGCAAGCGGCCCTCCATGGCGCCGACGAAGCCTGCGCTTGAGCGTCGCGCGCGTCGTGACAACAGGGTGAGAGAGAGGGACACACAGCACATGCAACAGGCGGCCATGGAGGGTTATTTTTTGGAGCTGTCGGCGGGACAGCAGAGCGAGCGCCGAAGCCCTGCTGGCCCTCCTTAGCACCAAGCTTGTGCGCCAGAGCGCGGGCAGGCAGCTTGTAGGCCCGAACTTGCCTCCCACCATGTCACCAACCTCCCCATGTACCAGCAATCTGTACCCCTATCTGTTCGAATCGATCCGCCTGTGTTGACATTTTTATGCATGACACTGCTTTGGTGGTGCAACTTTGGTCAGGCGGAGCAACGAGGCACCTTCCGACGGCCTTGCAAGTGTTGTGAGCACTGGCAGTTTCGGTGGTTCACCCCTTCTCACCTGCTCACACTCGCAAATGTTAAAGGCTCCAGCTGCTGCTGTAAGGCACAGTAATCACACTTAAAAAGCGATAGTCATGCTTGCAAGCATGGCGCAGCTTGCGGCGGTCCTGCCAGCGCTGACCTGCGGTGACGTGGTAGCTGGGCATCACAGCTAGTGGAGTCGAGACCAGCATTTCTGTGCAGCATCTGATGTCGGCATAGCTTCGAGCCTGCGTTTCAAACAACGTGAAGTGGGATTCGAAACGTATAGCCCCTGGAGCCAAGTGTGGCCGCTTCAACACGGTTCTGCGGGTAAGCTAGGCTGAGCGCGCGTGGCAGAGGGCGCAAGTATGATAGTATCGATCGGAGTTCCAACTAGCTCGCTGACCTGCTCAAGTTGCCTTGCTTGGCTGGCGCATCAGAACATGCCTGCGCCGCTTTGCTGCGCCTTTGCTGGTGTCAGCACATGCTTGCAAATCTTCCGACCCATTATGCACTGTCCACCCCTCATTCGATGCAGACACCACGATCCTGACACAATGGACAGCAGCGGCGAGCAGCGCCGAGGCGCAACTGCGCACAGCAACACAACAGAGCGTGTCTGCGCGATCATCCTCGCCTTCATCTTCCCTCCGCTGGGGGTGAGCCCAGCACAGCGCTGGCAAGCGGGCTGAAACGGACACCGCTTGAATGACGCCCTGCCGTCGCGCGCTGTGCTTCAGGTTGGCCGGGGGAGAGGATTTCTTGCGTGCAGGTGAGGTTTTGCGCCAACGTTGGCTAACCCCCCTTCACGGGCCCCGCGTTGACCCCTCTGGCCTGCGCAGGTCTTCTTGCTGCGCGGCTGCAACAAGGATCTGCTGATCAATGTTTTGCTGACGCTCCTTCTGCCCTGGATCGGAGGTGCGCAGGAGCCCCATGCGACAGTTGCGCCTCACAGCCTGAGGGGCGCATTCGGTTCCCTGCGCGTTTGACGACGCCGGGGCGCCTCAGGCGCGCCTCTTCTGGCGCTGACCCGACCGCCTTGGATGGCCCCCGCCCCTCCCAGGCATGATTCACGCTGTATGGATCGCCGTGGCCGACGCCGGCGCCGAGGACAACCGCCGCCGCAGGCGCCACCCGACGGGCCTGCCTGTGACGCAGCCCCCTCAGTCTGGCGGCGGCTACGTCGCCCCTGCGCCCGTGCAGCAGCCGCCCTACCCTCAGGGGGCTCCAAACTACGCAGCCCAGTCTCCGCAGCTGCAGGGCCAGTCTGCGGCCGGCTACCCTGGCGTGCAGGGCGGGGCGGGGGCTTACCCCAAGATGCCTGTCTCTTGAGTTTGACCAGAAATGAGTTTGACCAGAAAGGCTCGACCTGGAGAGTTTGACCAGCTAGCTTTGCTTGGCCAGCAAGGTAGGGACGGCTGCTGGTACGAGTCATTGATGCACTGACGCCGCTGACGTGGTCGCTGCACAAGGTGGCTTCCGTTATTCCCTGCATGGCACACGCATTTTCCGAGACAGGCAAGCCGTCTTGTCTGTGCTTGCATGAGGCCTCCTAGCAGCCGCGCCCCTTGCACAACCTCGTCACCATCATAATTAAGGGCGGAGGCGCCCAAACATGGGCATTTTGGCGCTGCAGAGATTTGCCCTGGCAGCAGCACCAAGCTCCTCGGGCCACTGGGTGCCGCCTGACAGCGTGGGCGAGGTGCGCCGCTAGATGTAAGCTGAACATTTCTGCAATGGAAGCAAAGCAATTGGCTTCCGCCCAGCAGGGCTGCGGACGGGGTGACAGCGCTGGACGTGGGGGCAATGTTACAAGCTGCAGCAGCATACAAATTGTGCATCGTGCAGGCGAAGGTCGCTCGAACGCGCGGCGTCACCGGGTGGGATCGGCAAAATTGAGGCCAGGAAGCAGCTGTTTCGCTGCAGGGTGACGCACCACAGCAGGCAGTGCGTCGAATCCTCTTTCGCAAAGGGCAACAACAAGTTGAACATGGAGCGCAAATCTGCAAAGCATTGTGCCTGCCACAAGTCCCGCCTCTCAACGAGCGCATATTCCAGCGCCGTGACAAGGAGCGGCGGTGGCGCCCCAATACTGAGGCGCAGCGGGAAAAACCACCCTAAACCCTTCCACCTTCACAGCAGCGGCACAGCAGGTGCCTACCGCGGCGGCGGCACAGCGCCCAGGAGCTCGGGGGCGGCGCCTGCCTCACGGGGCCCCCTACTACACGCCAACCCGCACTTATTGAAGTGCACTGCAACCTCGACAGGCGCAAGTCGTCGACAGCGGAGCTCGAAGACACCCCTTTCGAGAACGATGGGGTCATGGCACACGCGCGTCATCCGCATAGCCGGGCACCTGCTGCAGTCGCAATTCCGCCTGCTGCATCTGCTGCTGCTGCTGCTGCTGCAGCTGCTGCTGCTGCTGCTGCTGCTGCTGCTGCTGCGATGACTGCTGCGGCTGCTGTGGCGGCTGCTGCGACTGCTGGCGCTGCTGCTGCGGCTGCTCCTGCAGCTGCTGCGACTGCTCATGCTGCTCATCGCCTTGCTGCTGCTCTACATGCTGCTGCATGTGCCTCCTCGGCTGTTTGCGCTTCTGCGCCGCCGACTGCAGGGCGCGTTTGTGGCCCGCAGCAGCCTGGCGGGAAACAAGGGAGCGGGCAAGCATGCCCAAAGGGTGAATGTTCCACAACTGCAGGCGAGTCAAGAAGCTGAGGCGCCGGCCGTGTGCGCAAAGCTTGCGTCTGCTCCCAGCCTGCTGATCAGGCTGGGCCAGCCAAACCGCCAAGTAAATGTGCTTGATGCCATGTTCAGTTGCAGATGTGCTATCATGCATGAGTGCAGTACGCCTTGGCGACATGCGCATACCTTGTTTTTGAGGTGCGTCTTCTCCAGCTCGCGTATCAGCACCGAGGCCCCCTCGCTGCGCACGATCACTGGGGGATGCGCAGCCTCCGCATGCAGCATCATGAAGCGCGGCGCGACCTGCTGCGCGTTGCACATGGCCAGGTGAGGCGCGAGCGAGCGGGCGACGACAGACGTCGGCTGGCTGCAGTGCAGCGCAGAGCACCAAAGGTCGCTGCCTGGGGGGGGGGCTCTTTCTGCGACGCTCACGGCATCGCTGGGCCGCCAAGCTGCGTCCTACCTTGCGGCATAATTCGTGGTTGTACTGCGAGAAGAGGTCTGGCCTGCGCGATGGCAAGTTGCCGAGGTCCAGTGGCGCCATTTCCTCACGCGCCATTTTTTCAGCGGCCTGGTAAGTGCATGTGTCGTATGGATCAAGGTAATCGCGTCCATCGCGAATGTCTGTGGGGTTGAAGGTCGTTGTGATGCCGTTGAGGCGAGTGACCGTGGCACCCGAGATCAAATCGGTTCTTTGGTGGGTGCTGATCGCAGCTTCTTCTTGTGTCTGTCATTCAGCAATTAATCATGCGGAGAGCGTGGCGCTTTCGCTCCCACGCTCACAGGGCTTTCAGCTCGGATGTAGGCGCCCCAGGTGAGGGTGCAAGCAGGGGAGGGGCTTGCATGACGCTATCATGTCCTAGATCTGGAGATGGCAGGCCACGGGGGGCATCCGGTGCGTGCGCGACACCGCGACAACCGCCCCTTGTGGCTTTGGCCGCGACCGCAGGAGCGGTCACGCCCCCAGGCGCGAAGCACAGCAGTGCCGCAGCTGCGCATGGCGCCGCAGGATTGCAAGCAGCCGCCACGCCACCCACAGCCAGGGCTGGGGCTGCGGCGCCGTCGATAGCTGCGGCGGCGGGGCAGCAGCGGGCGGGTGCCGCCACCGCTGCCGCAGCCCCCAAGGCGCCCACAGCGCCGGCACCCGGCACTGCCCCCCAGGCCGGGTTTGGCGGCGGTGCAAAAGGCACACCACCCAGCGGCGGCGCCGCCCCTGGCGTCAAGGCAGGCGGCGCGGCACCCGGCGGCGCCGAGGGCGGCGGTGGCGGCGGCGGCGGCATCGGAGGGGTGTTCAAGGCTGCGGCGCTGGTCGCCCTGCCGGCTGGCGTGTATTTCGGATACCAATACGCGCTCGACGGC